AAGTCTTCTTGGGGCCTGGGATGGGGGTGAGGTGTAGGGGCAGGTGTAGCACTTCCTGCGGTTGCAGGGAAAAGTGCCGGGTGAGGTGGGGTTGGAGGGGAGTGTGGAGCAGACAAGACAGTCACGGAGAGAGTGGTCCCTCCGGAAGGCAGATAAGGGTGGGGAGGGGAAAATGTCTTTGGTGGTGGGGTCGGATTGCAGATGGCGGAAGTGTCGGAGGATGATGCGTTGGATCCGGAAGTTGGTGGGGTGGTACGTGAGGACGAGGGGGATTCTCTTTTGGTTGTTATTGCGGGGAGGGGGTGTGAGGGATGAGTTGCAGGAAATGCGGGAGACATGGTCGAGGGCGTTCTCGACCACTGAGGGGGGGAAGTTGCGGTCCTTGAAAAACGAGGACATCTGAGATGTACGGGAGTGGAATGCCTCGTTCTGGGAGCAGATGCTGCGGAGGCGAAGGAATTGGGAATAGGGGATGGCATTTTTGCAGGAAGGTGGGTGGGAGGAGGTGTATTCTAGGTAGCTGTAGGCCCGAAACGTCAGCCTTCCTGCTCCTCTGATGCTGCTTGGCCTGCTGTGTTCATCCAGCTCTACACCTTGTTATCTCAGATCTAGGCCTGAAACGTCAGCCTTCCTGCTCCTCTGATGCTGCTTGGCCTGCTGTGTTCATCCAGCTCTACACCTTGTTAGCTCAGATGCAGGAAGTGCTACACCTGCCCCTACACCTCCCCCCTCACCACCATCCCAGGCCCCAAGAAGACTTTCCACATCAAGCAGATGTTCACCTGCACATCTGCTAATGTGATATACTGCATCCGCTGTTCCCGTTGTGGCCTCCTCTACATCGGGGAAACCAAGTGGAGGCTTGGGGACCGCTTTGCAGAACACCTACGCTCGGTTCGCACTAGACAACTGCACCTCCCAGTTGCAAACCATTTCAACTCCCCCTCCCATACCACAGACGATATGTCCATCCTGGCCCTCCTGCAGTGCCACAATGATGCTACCCGAAGGTTGCAGGAATAGCAACTCATATTCCGCTTGGGAATGCTGCAGCCCAATGGTATCAATGTCGACTTCACAAGTTTCAAAATCTCCCCTCCCCCTACCGCATCCCAAAACCAGCCCAGCTTGTCCCTGCCTCCCTAAGCTGTCCTTCCTCCCACCTATCCCCTCCTCCCACCTCAAGCCCCACCCCCTTCTCCTACCTGCTAACCTCATCCTGCCCCCTTGACCTGTCCGTCCTCCCTACCTCCCCACCTACACTCACCGTTACTGGCTCCATCCCTACCTCTTTGACCGGTCTGTCTCCTCTCCACCTATCTTCTCCTCTATCCATCTTCTATCTGCCTCCCCCTCTCTCCCAATTTATTTCAGAACCCCCTTCCCCTTCTCCATTTCTGAAGAAGGGTCTAGGCCTGAAACGTCAGCTTTCCTGCTCCTCTGATGCTGCTTGGCCTGCTGTTTTCATCCAGCTCTACACCTTGTTGTCTCAAATTCAAATGTTTGCTTGTTTACTTGATATACTACTGTACAGAACTGAACTGTTGCATTTGTGACAATGTATATATACAAAGATATTTTTTATGAATAATCAATATTTTTGAAATATAAATAAAAACTGGCTACAAGAGCAAGTCAGAGGCTATGAATACTGCAGCAAGTAACTCACCTCCTGACTCCCTAAAGCCTGTCCACCATCTACAGATAGTTCTGCTATAACACACGTTTTGTTAATACAAATTGGCTGTAATGCGATTGATGAATAGTGGACACTGTTAGGATAAGGTGAACGTTCTCCGTATAGTGATTTTCTATAGCAATTTCCATTTAATGTGATTTTCTATGGCAATTTTCTATAGCGCGAGGACACACAAGAACGCAACTATCACGTTATAGGAGAACTACCTGTACAAGACACAAGTCAGGAGTGTGATGGAATATTCCCCACTTGCCTGGATGGGTACAGCTCCAACAAAACTCGAAGCTCAACACCAACCAGGACAAAGCAGCCCGCTTGATTGGCACCACATCTACAAACATTCACACCCTCCACCACTGACGCACAGTAGCAGAAGTGTGTACTATCTACAAGATGCACTACAGAAATTTAGCAAAGATCCTCAGACAGCACCTTCCAAACCCACGAGCACTGGCATCTAGAAGGGCAAAGGGCAGCAAATACATGGGAACACCACATTCCCCAACAAGTCACTAACCATCCTGACTTGGAAATATCATCGCCGTTCCTTCACTGTCGCTGGGTCACAATCCTGGAATTCCCTCCCTGAGGGCATTGTGGACTGCAGTGGTTCAAGAAGGCAGCTCACCACCACATTCTCAAGGGCAGCCAGGAACAGACAATAAATACTGGCCAGGCAGAGATGTTCACATCGAATGAATAAAACAAAAGGTGTTTTTAATTCATTCATGGAATATGGATAGCAGTAGATGACACACTTTTGTTACTGAACATCAATGGTAGAGGGAATGAATGGTACGAGCTGCCAGAGGAAGTGGTGGAGGCGGGTACAATTACAACGTTTAACAGACATTTGGACAGGTGCATGAATAGGAAAGGTTCAGAGGGATATGGGCCAAACGCAGGCAAATGGGACTAGTTCAGTTTAGAAAACCTGATCAGTTGGGCTGAAGAGTCTGTCTCTGTGCTGTATGACTATGCATACCATGTTAATGAATGGAGTGCCACTCAAGCAGGCTGCTTTGCCTTGGTTGGTGTCAAATGCAACACTCGAGAAAATCTATTTCAGTTTTTTTAGGGCTCCTCGATACTACAATGTGTCAAATGCGGTCACTCCCATCTTACCTTAGGAATTCAGCTCTTTTGTCCATGTTTGAACCAAATCTATGATGAGATCAGGAGCTGAGTGGCCATGGCAAAGCACAAACTTAGCATCAATGAGCAGAATATTCCTTTGCAAGTGCCACCTGATAGCACTGTTGGTGACACCTTCCATCATTTAAATCTGCCTTGCTTTCTGTGGTTAGGATGAGGTCAATTGGATTTATTTCTCTTTGTGGTTCTGCTGACTCAGTCTAGCAAAGTCCTTAAAAACTTTGGCAGCTCAAACAGAAGTGGTGCTAGAGTGACAATTTTGGTGATGGACATTCCAAGTCCCCCACCCTTAGTTATATTTTGTCTCCTTGCCATCCTCAGTGCTTCCTCTAGGTAGTGTTCAACATAGAAACTAAAAACAGCATTAGGCCATTTGGCCCATCTGGCCCATCAAGCCTGCTGTGTCACTCAACATGATTATGGCTGATCTTCTATCTGAACATCATACTTCTGCTCTCCCCTTACCCTTTAACATTTTAGCTTTCAGAAGTCTGTTTTTTTCTCAAATATATTCAATGGCTCATCCTCCACTGCCTTCTGTATTTGAAAACTCCTGAGGTGCGCCATACTCTGAGTAAAAGAATTTCTCCTCACCTCAGTCCAAAGTGATCTACTGCACATCCTGAGACTGTGAACCCAGTTCTGAACCCCTGATCAGGGGAAACCTCATTCCTGCATCTAGTCTGTCCATGTCCATCAGAATTTTCTGTGTTTATTTTATACTCTCATTCTTCTAAACTGCAGTGAATACAGGCCTAGTCAACCCAATCACTCCTCACAGGACTGTCCTACCATCCCAGGAATCAGTCTGGTGAATCTTCACTGCACCCTCTCTATGGCGACTATATCTTATTTTAGGAAAAGAGACTAAAACTGCACACAATACTCCAGGTGTGGTCTCACCACAGCTGGAGTAAGACTTTCTTGCTCCTGTACTCAAACTGTCTTGTAATGAAGGCTAACACACCACTTCCCTACCTAACATGCTGCACCTGCATGTTTGCAGCAACTACTGTACAAGACCACCCAGGTCCCTTTGTACATCAACATTTCCCAATCGATCAGCATTTAAATAATACTTTGCCTTTCTTGCCAGTTTTTCCTCCCCACTGTCTGAAATGAACAATTTGACACATTCATCACATTCTACTGCATCAGATACGTATTTACTCACTCTTTCAACTTTTCTAAATCACCCTAAGCATCTTTACATCCTTGCCACCTTCTCGCATCTCATTAGTTTTGTGTCATCAGTAAACTTGGAAATATTACATTTGATTCCCTGTCAAATCGTTGACCTATTTTGTGAATTGATGGGGCAAAACAACACTTCACTTCTCACCACCTTCTACTCTGAAAATGACCCATTTATTCACACGCTGTTTCCCATCTGGGAATCAATTCTCAATCTATGCCAGTTAATTACCACCAATTCCAGGTGCTTAATGTGTCGGGGCGAGGCTGCCTTCCTCACTGAGCTCGGAATCAGGATTGTGATCATATTGTGGAGCACTGGGATCAGGTTTTGTTGGAGATGGCAGCAGCCCCTTTTTGTGATAAATTTTAATCTATGGTCAGGTCGTAGTGACAGTGACAGGACTTCCTCTAGAGGCCATGCTGGGGAGGAGACTGCAGAAAGTGGATGTGTTACAGCAGGATCAAACAAGAGACTACTTAGCCAGAGCAACAGCTCAGGACTTTGGATGTAATAAATCAGCCCAGCTGGATCAATAATCAGCTTCACAACACTACTCCAGTTTTACAATCATTGTATTGAACCTCAGCACTTTTCGACAAACCAGTTTCACAGAAACACGCCGGCAAAGAATCATGCACAGAATTGGCCACACAGTTCAAAACACAAGTCCAATCACACCAGTGTACCTCCTAACCCCAGTGACCAGCCCCAACAGTCTGACACACAACACCCTCCACCACCATCTGACCCCTCCTTCCCCCACCATCTGACCGTTCCCCCACTGTCTGACCCCTCTCCAATCCCCCTCCCACTGTTTGACTCCCCCAAGCCCTCCCTCTGCTCTCTCTCTCACTGTCTGATCCCTTTCCCCCTTCCTCACTATCTGACCCCATTCCACTCCGTCTCCACTCCCTGACCCCTCTTCCCTCTCCCTTGTCCCCTTCACTCCCTGAACCCTCCCAATAGACACACCAACATCTGACACACCCACAACCACCACAATCTGTCCCGTGATTAAGGATTTTTCCTGGATTTCCAATATCCAAATTGGGAATGCTGTTCCCTAATTCTGCTGATTGTGTGGATTAAGGAAGCACAGCTGGCGGATTTTGCTGGAAAAATAAATTTAACAACACCTGTTGGGATTAATTGAAAGTCAACTGTGAAACTGATGGAGAGGGTAAATTTCTAGAAACCACTGCTCGATTTATATCAACAGATTCTCACACTCCTGCTCCCTGGTGTTTTAGAAAACTTGCAGAATTTGCATATTAAATTCATTAATGTGTTAGGACTGAAGACAGCATTAAGCATCTTTCAAGCAGCGTGATCACTGTTAGTACAAACCTCTCCCTGTCCCAGATAGGGAACAATTAAACTGATAACTCATTCCTGCAAATCTCTCCCCTTCTGTATCTTTTCTTTTTCAGTTTGATCTCTCCTTCATTCCATTTCTTTTTCTGCATCTCATTTCACTTGAGTTAACTATTTCCTTCTCTGTCATTCTGAATTTCTTTCACAATTATTGCTTAAGGAGATAAATTGTTGGTTCCAAATTTGGTGAAGTCCCAGACATTGTGTTGGTCCCAGAGCCTTTATCAGCTCCAGTTCACAGCAAGTCCCACTGCTGCAGAACTGTGTAATAATATTTCTGAACAGACTGATTAGAAACAAAAAAAATTGCAAAACATTTTTCACCTAATTTGAAGGAAAAGTCTTAACTAAAGGTGAGAGTGGTGATGTGTTCCATTCCAACTAGACTGGGCTCAATAAATCTGACGGTGCTAGCTGATGGCATCATAGCTGATACTGCAGATCTCTGTCTGTGTGCAAACTCCCTCTCAATTCCAGTTAAGTCCTGGTAACAGTCCAAATATCACCGAGGGAGGGAGATACCACACAACAAAACACTCACCTGAGTGAGCACAGCCTGAAGCATGTCAGTCATTTCTCACTTTACAGAAATTACTACAACTTTAACAACCCAAACTCCTCCAAGACCCAAATCAAAAACTTGTTTCACCTTTTACCTTTGTTCAGTGACCTGACAATGAGTGACAAACAAGTACTCGGTCATAAGTCTGGTTCAGAAAGTTCTGGAGCAGGATTGAGTGTCAATGGGTGAGAATATAGATTCTGCTTACTGTTTGACCAGTGTTTTTGCCAGTTTTACTGAATGGATAGGAGTCTGTAATGGAGCAAACCACAACTGTTTCCTGACAGGGTACCCTTGACTCTACAGCCCCTGCTCTCTCCTTCATTACCTCTTGTCAATCCCATCCTCCTCTATCAATCCATGCAGAAATTCCAAAAGAACAGGAAGAAAGTTTAACGTTCCCAAATGCACATTTCCGGAACGTGTGAGAGTTGAGTGGTTTTTGAGTCAGACCCATGACAGAAAGCAGCAACGCTTGCCCCTAAATGCACTCAGCAGCAATCAGTCTGCTCAGGAGTGATACACAACAAGAGATTACTCCTCTGTCTGGTTTACGATCAGTAGAAACTGCCAGCTTCCTGCTTCACTTGGCCAGGACATGGTCCTTTTGTTCCTTGCGGCGTTTCACCAGACAGCTGGTGATACCTAGAGCCCCACCCTTCACAAACCGCACAAAGTTATCACCCACCAGGGGACCCATTGCAAAAAGGTTGGGCTCCTGGAGCAGCTCATAGGTGTAAGGATGAATCTGCAAAGGGTTACAGCGGCAGGAGATCGGCATCTTAGTGTTCAGTCCCAGGTAACTACCATTGTCCCTAAGGAAGGTGAGTCTGGGATTAGCCCCAATCAGCACCAATGCCATGGAGATATTCACCACTGTCTGACACTTGTCCCAGCTTTCCAGGATGCATTTCTTGTCCGGCTTGAAGCTGCTGACCTGGTGCTGGGGAAAGCTGGTATAGCCTCGATAAGAAGCAGAGTCTCTGCCAGCATTCTGCTGACTCATCATCTGGTGCACTTTGTGATATTCTGGGTAGAGCACTTTGGGCAGCTGGTTAAAGATTAGGTTGGGGTCAGTGACTGCCCGTCGAAAGATGTGAAGAACGGGAATTTCGTAGTGATGGGCACACAGAATGGCATCGGCTGCAGTCAATCCTGCTCCAACAATCAGCACAGGCTCTGAGCACTCACTCACCCAGCTATGCACTATGGCCGTTTCAAACTCAGAAATGCTGTGACAGACGTATGGCAGGTCTTCACCCTCGACACCCAGCCTCACAGGCTCGTCCTGTGTCCCAGTCGCTAAGACGACATTCTCCGCCAAGATCAGGAAGGGTGTCTGCACCCCATTGCTCCCCGTTTGGAAACCTCTGACCTCCCACAATGACTGTGTTGCTGCCCCGCTGTTTTCCTCCTGTCCTCTGTCCTGGGTCACTCTTCGCTTGCTGGCTTCCTCACCCTCAGCAATGTCACTGATTCGACACAGGGATGTCAGGCAGCTATTGGGCACAAAGTTCTTCTCAAGACCCATCTCACTGACAAAGTGTTGATAATAGGCAGCAACCTCAGCTGGGGTCACGCGATCATTCCTTAGATTCCTGGGGGAGGGGAATGGGTATCAACAGGAGGGTAAATAGGGAAGAGAAACGGAGGGAAGGGGAGAATGGATACAGAGGAGCAGGGAGGGCAGAGAGTGGGAATCAAAAGACAGAAAGAAGAAAAAGGTAAAAGGTATAAATGAAGAATGTTGGGTACAATTTACTATTTACAGTGGGGTGCCCTCACACCCCCACCCTCCATCCAGGAACCCATGGTGCAGGAAACAGTGATGGGATTGGTCAATTTGTTAGTTTAACTCTGCACCCACACCCCAGGTCCTGAATACTAACAGAATTTCCTGTTTTTATTGAAACAAGCAGTTGGAACATTATTCTCTAACTTATGACTCTCTGTAATTGGGAGAAAGCCAATCAGTTCTCTCAGCTCGGTAACTCTTGATATCCTAACAATAAAATCCATCGATTTCCATCTGGTCCCCAGCAGCATCTGCTTTTTGTGGCTTCAAAGAATCCTTTTCTGTGTGGGACGTCTCACTGAGCCCCTGCAGGAGCGGGAGTTGGGGGGATGGGCCAAGGGGGTGAGGAGGGGTGATTGAGGGGTGTGGAGGAGGAAGGGGGTGAGGAGGAGGACAAGTGGGGTGAGGAGGAGGGAAATTAGGGGGTGAGGAGGAGGGGGAAAAGCAGGCAGCATTGAGATGGGAAGGGGAGAGTAAGAGGGTGAATAGGGGTATGGAGGGGGAGGGGATAGGATTGGATTAGGAGGGAGCAGCCGCCTGATTTTGGGGCTCAAAGCAAGATATAGCTGGAGAGATGGCTGAGGTTGGTGTAGTTTAGACATGGCAATCAGTTCTGACTGAATTAGGGCCAGACCATTCAGGAGAGACGTTAGGAAGCACTTTTACACTCAAAGGGTGGTAGATGTTTGGAAATCTCTTCCACAAACAGCAGTGGATGCTGGATCAGTTGTTAAATTTGAAACAGCAAAGGTGTTAAGGGATGTGGGCCAAAGACAGGTATATGAAGTTAGGCCACAGATCAGCCATGATTTCATTGATTGGTGGAACAGGCTCTAGGGGCTGAATGGCCTCCTCCTGTTCCTATGTTGCTAAGTGTTGCAAAGTTGTGCAGAGTTCTTGTGAATTGCAAAGCAGGAAGGTAGAATTTGTTTGTAAAAATGATAAGGTGCGGGGGTGGGGGCGGGGAAAGAGTGCATAGTCCCTTTAAGAGGTGATGTGCTTTTCTAAGCTTGGAGATTTAAACTAGAATGTATCGGTAAGCAGCTGAAGGGGTACAGGCAGTTTTGAAATTGAAAGATGTATCAATTGGCTGTGTGATTAGAAACCTTAGGCTTGTTCTGATGTTTTGGCAACTACTTGAAGATCAGCCAACTAATTTAAACCAAGCACTTAGAGAGTGAAAACCAACTGAATTTAAATCTGATGCTTTTGACAACCTCACACTAATCTTATAATAAGGAAATTGACAGGTCATCGGGGCGGGCGGGGGGGGCGGGGGGGTGGGGGGAGAGCGGAGTATATGTGAACACGATTTTTGAAAATAGATCTAAGCATGAACTGCCACCTGAAGTATAAATATCTGGCTCTCACAGAAATCTCTAAGCTCTCTGAGAAAGCACCATCCATTCATAAAGGTACCATGGCACTCCTAGCTAAGATTCCTGACATAAGAATTCACACAGAAAGCATTCCTGACAGAAGGATCAGCAGAGAAGGGAAAGAACATTCTGGAAGACTTAACCTGGCTGTACTTTTGAGAGTCTAAGTTTTAATTTATTTTTATTATTACTTGGCATTTTATAAGTGGGACTTCTATTTATTGGAACAGCATACTATTAGAATTTTTTTCTGTTTGGGAATTGTCAGTAGTTAAGGGGGAATTATTTGATTTGTTAGTAGTTCTGTTAATTTGTTCACTGTTAGGGTTAAATAAATAAATTGTTACTTATTGCTTGTGAAGTGAATATTAGGGATTTTCTTTCACTTAACAACTCCTTTTTAACAGATTAGGTGAGGTAAGGCCAGCTTCTCTAGGTGTTTTGGGTTTAATTATTAGAAGGGGATCTCTACTCCTGCCGTAACAGATTGGGGGCTTGTGTTTCGATTTTAATTATCAGAGGGGTGTTGAACTCCCCTTCCTAACACTAAGACTAGAATCGGAGCTAGTTTCTACATTCTAACCCCTATGAATAAACAGCTCTTTAATGCTTTTTTGTGGTTATCTCTCAATGACCGTTAGCCACTCTTCACTCTTCTAAGTCACATGGAGATAGCAAGAACTGCAGGTGCTGGAGTCAGAGCCAATACAGTGTGGAGATGGAGGAACACAGCAGGTCAGGCAGCATCAGAGGAGTAAGAGAGCCGATGTTTCATTGAAGGGTCTGGGACTGAAATGTTGACTGTCCTGCTCCTCTAATGCTGCCTGACCTGCTGTGTTCCTCCATCTCCACATTGTATTGACTCCACTCTGCTAATCCTTGCTCTGTCCTAGAATCATCTCTCTGTCCATCTAGCTAGTTTTATGCATTTCATGCTAAGTATCTTTTCCTTCTGTTCCTTATTTGGACCTCAATGATTTTTTTCTGAAACCCCACAAAACTGCTCCTTTCCATTAAGCATTCTTTCTTCCGTGGATCAGTGAGGAGCACTCTCAGCTCAGAGTCAGAAACTTGTGGGTTTCCTTGAGCAGGGAATCAAACCTCTTACTCCAGTGCAGTACTGAGGAACACTGCATTGTCAGAGCCCCATTGTTCAGATCAGAGAATTTATACACTTTGTTGGATGTAAAAGATCCCATGGTCACTAGTTCACTCACCCTGGTGTCCTAGCCAATGTTTATCCCTCAATTAATATCATTAAAAAACCAGATTATCGGGCTATTAGCACATTGTGGCATCTTGCCATGCAGTATGCTTCAGGTGCCATGTTTCTACATCGCAATAACAGGCTACACGGTAAAAAGTACTTCATCAGCTGTGAAGTGCTCTGTGATATTCTGCGCTCAGGAAAGGTGCTATAGAAATGATTTTATTTACGATATTTTCCCTTCTTCAGTGAGTTTGTAAATGCAGGTCCACCACAGGCTATGGTGATTGGCTGAAATTAACACAGGATGGGCAAGGGGGTCTGCACACACGATAACAGGATCCGACCTCAGTGAGGTACCAAATATTGGGAGCTGTAGCAATGCACCAGGGGGGGACCTGTGACCCATTAGGGGCTGTTTCTCCCAGTCAGTGAGACCCCAGCTGATGTGTACTCCAACTCAACCCATCCAATCCTGGTTTCATGGCCCTCCACAGCCTGCCTCGCAAAATGGACCAATCTCAGAATTAATATTGTTATCAAGTATCAATTGCTTTTTGTGGGAGTGTGATCTACCATTCAGCCCATCCTATACTGTATGTGAAGAAATTTCTCTCTGGAATAGCTGGGACTCACTCACCAGCAGAAACGTTTCTCTCATCAACAACTTTCAAAATCCTGAAATCCTCAATCTATACCCCCCACAACCTTCAACATTCCTGGGAATTCAAACCCAGTTTATGAAATCTCTCTCCACAGTCTAACCCTTCAAGTTCAGGTAACATTACAATATACAATGTAGGAACAGAAGTAGGCCATTCAGCCAAGCCATTCAATAAGATCATGTTCAAAACACTCTGGTCAGTCTGCACTGACACCCCCGCCCCCACGATAATATTCCCTATCAAGGTGCCTGAACTCATTAAGCACAACCCAGTCAAGGGAAACTACAATGTCATAGGGATTGCTACAAACCTTCGCTTCTCTCCAGCCCAGTCCTTCAGTTTCAGACCTGGTAACTCCATCCAGCTCCCAAAGCTCAGTGTGAGCATTGAGCCCTCCATAGCCTGGAAGACGAACGATGAATTAATGCATTAGGAAGCTGTGTGAAAACACAACTTCAACATGACAGCACTGTGAACTGGTGTCGGTGAGAACAGCAATACATATAAAATCTCATAGAATTTAAGATTGGAAAACAGTTTGATAAGGTAGCTTTTACGAGGGGACATAGTTTTAAAGTGAGTGGAGATAGATATCGGGGAGACGTCAGAGGTAGGCTCTTTACTCAGAGAGTGGTAGGGGCGTGGAATGCATTGCCAGAGAGGGTAGTGGAGTCGGCCTCATTAGGGACATTTATGCAGCTATTAGATAGGCATATGGATGATAGTATAAACCTGCCTGAGTAGCACTAGCAAAAGGGATAACTAAACCAATTAATGATATTTCAATTAACATTTCAGTCAACATACCTTCAGAACATGAGGCTGCTGAAATCAGTAACTCCCTTGGGGCATTCTGTTTATTTATCATCAACTATTAACACAGCAACTTTGCTTTTATAACATGAGGCCTTTTTCTATGCTGTACATTCTGTAGAAACAGGCTGACAGCAATAGTGACAATTCAGAAAGGGTGGGTCTTGCAGTAAAATATCCAATTGTCTCTAGTTATGCATGAGGAGTGATTACTTAGACAAGGGCAGACAAGGGTAGCTCCATAGCTATAGGCTCTGCCTAAAACAAGATGATAAGAAGCAAATTTTAAAACATTTCAAATGAAAGTTTAAAATCTCTGTTATAAAAGCAAAGTTGCTGTGTTGATAGTTGATGATAAATAAACAGAATGCCCCAAGGGAGTTACTGATTTCAGCAGCCTCATGTTCTGAAGGTATGTTGACTGAAATGTTAATTGAAATATCATTAATTGGTTTAGTTATCCCTTTTGCTAGTGCTACTCAGGCAGGTTTAAACTAATGTGGCAGTGGGGTAGCAACCAGACCAGTACATTCACCAGTCGAGTGAATGAGGAGAAGGTAGAGACGAGGATAAGTCAGTTTAGTAGGAAGAACAGGCAGGGCCAGGTTAATAAACATAGTGGGACTGGTGGTCTCAAGTGTATTGATTGCAATGCAAGGAGTATAACAGGTGGGGCTGATGAGCCTAGAGCCTGGATTAGTACCATTGTAGCCATTACAGAAACTCAGTTGGGTGAAGGGCAGGACTGGCAGTTCAACGTTCCAGAGGTTAGATGTTTCAGGCAGGGAGGAAATGGCCTAGTCGTATTATCGCAGGAATATTGTCCTTCAGGAAAGGAAATTGGCCATCCTTACTTGGTCCGGCCTACTTGTGACTCTAGACCCACAGCATTGTAGTTGACTCTCAACTGCCTTTAGAAATGGCCAAGCAAGCCATTCACTTGTATCAATCATTATGAATCTCAACAAAGGAACAAACTAGACGGACTACCTGGCATTGACCTAGGCACTGGAAAAGACAACAGCAGAAACAGTCCTAATGACCCTGCAATGTCCCCCTCATTAACATGTGGGGACTAGTGCCAGAATTGGGAGAGCTGTCTCACAGACTAGTCAAGCAACAACCTGACACGGTCATACACTCAGAATCATACCTTACAGACAATGTCCCAGATACCACCATCACCATCCCTGGGTATGTCCTGTTCCACCGGCACAGAGGGGTCGGCACAGTGGGATACAGTCAGGAGGGAGTTGCTCTGGGAGTCCTCAACATTGACTCCGGACTCCATGAAGTCTCATGGCTTCAGGTTAAACATGGACAAGGAAACCTCCTGCTGATTATCACATACCGTCCTCCCTCCACTGATGAGTCAGTAATACTCCATGTTGAACAACACTTAGAGGAAGCACTGAGGATGGCAAGGGCACAAAATGTATTCTGGGTGGGGAATTTCAATGTCCACTACCAAGAGTGGCTCAGCAGCAGTACTACTGATCGAGCTGGTCGGGTCCTAAAGGACATAGCTGCTAGACTGGGTCTGCAGCAGGTGGTGAGGGAACCAACAAGAGGGAAAAACATAACTGACCTCATCCTTACCAATCTGCCAGCTGCAGTTGCAAATATCCATAACAGTATCGGTAAGAGTGACCGTCGCACAGTCCTTGTGGAGATGAAGTCCCGCCTTCACATTGAGAATATCCTGCATTGTGTTGTGTGGCACTATCACCGTGCTAAATGGGATAGACTTTGAACAACTTTGGAGGTCTTGTTTCACAAATTTGACTGAGTTTTCTGAGGAAGTGAAAAGATGATTGGTGAAGGTAGGACAGTGGACATTGTCGACATGGACTTTACTAATGCATTTGACATGGTCCCTCATGGTCAGGGGGTCCAGAAGATTAAATCACATGGGATCCATGATGAGTTGGTAGGTTGGATACAAAATTGGCTTGGTCATAGAAGACAGAGGGTCCCTGTGGAGGGGTGTGTTTCTGACTGGAGGCCTGTGACCAGTGGTGTTCTGCAAGGATCAGTGCTGGGATCCTCTGGGGTGTTTGTAATAGATATAAACGATTTGGATGAAAATGTCGATGGTCTGATTAGTAAGTTTGCCGAAAACACGAAAATTGGTGGAGTCGTGGATAATGAGGAAGGTTGTCAAAGGATACAGCAGGATATAGATCAGTTGGAGACATCGGGCAGAGAAACGGCAGATGGAGTTTAATCCAGACGTGTGTGAGGTGATGCAGTTTGGGAGGTCAAATGCAAGAGGAAAATATACAGTAAATGGCAGGCCCCTTAGGAGCATTGATATACAGAGGAATCTTGGGATACAAGTCCATATCTCCCCGAAAGTGGCTACACAAGTGGATAAGGTGGTAAGGAAGGTGCATGGCATGTTTGCTTTCATTGGTCAGGACACTGACTATAAAAGTTGATAAGTCATGTTGCAGATTATAAAACTTTAGTTCGGCCACATTTGGAGTATTGTGTGCAGTTCTGGTTGGCACACTATAGGAAGGATGGGGAGGTTTTGGAGAAGGTGCCGAAGAGGTTTACCAGGATGTTTCCTGGATTGGAGTGTATCAGCTATAGGGAGAGGTTGGACAAACTTGGATTGTTTTCGCTAGAGCATTAAAGGCTGAGGGGCAACCTAATAGAAGTATATATAATCATGAGAGGCATGGATAGAATGGATAGTCAGAGTGTCTTTCCCAGCATGGAAATGTCAAATTCTATGGGGCATTGGTTTAAGGTGAGGGGGGAAAGTTTAAAGGAAATGTGTGAGGCAAGTTATTTACACAGAGGGTGTTAGGTGCCTGTAACGCACTGCCAGGGGAGATGGTAGAAGCACTGTTTAAAAGGCAATTAGACAGACACATAAACAATCAGACTAGAGGGATACAGACCATGTGCCGGCAGATGGGATTAATTCAGATTGGCATCATGGTCATGAACAGAAGGGCCTGTTCCTGCGCTGTACTGATCTATGTTCTATCCTGTATCTTGCAATTTTTGAAAAGAATACTTTGCGATCAAAGGAGACTGGCTGTGATGGAGAAAAGTGTTGCATTTGGAAGGTCAGTGCGCAGCTTGGCTGGAATCTACACAACTGTTAGAGGTCTCATGGCCCAGGGTGTAGGTATAACAAAGCTATTGCTTCTCAGCACAGTCAGAAAGATAACTTTTGCCCTATCATTGCCCTACCATATCTGAAACTCCTCTCATCAAAGTTGGAGAATTGGAAATCCACTGGAAAATCTCATCACCACAAGTGGAAGGCTCCAACAGGAGAAGTCTTCAGGCTGCAAACCAAGAATTGTTAAAGGAGAATCCAGAATCAATCGCCACTGTCTCCAAATGAAAAGGATTCAGCCAGGAATCTGAATTCAGGAAGATATCCCAGTGCCAACAGCCTGTGTGAAAAGTGATGTCAGCTATAGACCAGCATTTGGGACAATCTATTAAATAATTATTTTTTTTCTGAATTTAACATTCTGCAGAGCTATTTTTGCCTTGGACTTGGAGGCTTCGTATGTGTGTTTATTCATGAAGATTATTTGTTTAAATTTGCAGCTTAGAGCTTTAGTTTATAATCGTTACAGCACTGCTTGAGTAAGTTTTGTTTACAATAACCTAGTCCTTTATTTGTTACTAAAGAAACCAGCTGATTTGTTCCTGAACCTGAGCTGTGTAAAGTCTGATTTATCATCAATATCCCCTCCTTATTTAAATTCAAACTCTGAGGTGATCCATGGAGGACTGGAACAAGAAACTAAGTCATTCACTGTTACTAAATGGATTGTAACACTCCCATGACATGAATGCACATGCCAACAGGTACAATGTTCACAAGCCCACCTCACTCTCAACTGTACTTCAATGGACATATCAAAAATTAGACAAAAACACTGTTACTGGGTCATTCGCATGGTAACATTTGGTGAATTCGAAGGTTGTGGAACCCAGTCTAGCTCTCAGACCTGAGTCCACATAATTCAAGACCATTGTGCCGGTCAGCCACATTGTGAGAGACGCCAAACTCCACATGAGACATTAAAGTGAGGTCCCATGTTTGAGTATGCTGATGTTTTAGGTCCATGTTCAAGATATCACAGCATTTTTCAAACAGCAGCAAGGTTCGTGGGATGATACTTTACACACCCACAGTAGTTAAAGGGATCTTACTGTGTGAAAAATTGTCGAGTTCCAGTGAACTCTCCCAATGTCAAGAGAAAGAGGACAATCTGTCTGATCGAGCAGGCTGGATGGAAATGGCCAGGGACTTCTACAGCAACAGTGTGCTCCATCCCACCTGGAGACAGTGTCAGGAGGGCAGGTAAGGTATTGAGTCCCACAATCCACCTTGACTTGCATTTGCACACATCGACACACCTTACAGCTCCACTCACTCCAATCTCCTCCCAACACCTCACATTAAATGTGAACAGCCTAAACTCTCACTCACCCTTAGCCTATGGCTCTTTCACGCTCCTACCTCACAGCCACCCACCACAGGTGATGCTCTCCCCTCTTGTCCACAAAGGGTCCCCATGACTGGCACTCACTCCTCTCTGCTTTCTGTTCCTGCAGAACACAGCCCAAAACCTCAAGGAAAGGCAGAGACCCGGAAGGTGCAGTGGCCTTGGTCTGGCTCTGAGTGCCCACCTTCTGGACTGGGGAGGAGGCTGGAGATTTGAGCAGTCAATATGGATTTATGAAGAGGAAATTCATACTTGACAAACCTGTTTCTTGAGGATGTTACTAGCAGAGACAGTGAGGGAAAACCAGTGAACACGGTATGTTTGAATTTTCAGATCAGGTCCCAAACAGGTCTGTAAAGAAAACTGCAGCATGTGGGATAGCGGGTGGGTGATGTGGACTAAGAATTGGAAAAAAAAATAGAGTAGGAATAAATGGGTGGTTCTCATATTGGCAGGCTGTGACTACTGGGGGTACCGTAACGATCAGTACTTGGGCCCCAACTGTACACAATATATATCAATGATTTGGATGTGGGGACCAAACTGCAATATTTCTAAGTTTGAGGATGACACAAAACTAGGTGGGAATGCTGTGATGTATGGTGTGTGATTTATCAATATTTTAATATCATTTATATTAAAGTTTAGATTTGAGCAAGTGGCATTTGGGTTTTGATCTCTGTGTCTGCAAGGGTTTAATCATTAACTCGTAAGGATTTCTGTAGTCAAGATGATATACTTTTTAAAATAGTCTTAGAGAGAGGTATTGGAAGCAAATAGGAATTTGTTTCCATTTGGAGAGTTTTACAGGTGAACAAAGTAAACAGTGGTGGATCAGGCTTTCAGTTTAGAAGGTCAGAGGGTGATTTTTTGTTTCTTCCAATTAAGGGAACATGCATAACTTGAAAACACTTTTAGCTTTAAGTTTGTGGCATTTTCCAGAAATCTTGGCTGAAGGTGTATGGGTGAAACAGTTCTCCTTGAGAAACAGAAGCGGTTTAGGACTGATAAAAATTGTAAACAGTTCAGTTGAAAAGATCCAGATCAGACTGTTAGGTTACAAACCTGAACAAGTTATTTGAAGTTGAAAAAGTCTAAGTTCAGTTGTATGAAGCTTCAGGAACAGGCCATCAGATTCTCAAGACAGGCAATTGAAGCCACAGTTAAACTAAATCTTACAGATCTGAAAGAGAAGGGAGTTCTTTCTGGTACGAGTACTGTAAAGAAATACTTTTGGGATTAAGGAGAGTATATTTTGCCAAGTGTTCCAAAATCTTTAAATTTATGTCATAAGTAAATTGTTAATTCTGTTTTATCTTTATTTCTCTTGCACACTAAGTGCATGTTTTATTATTAAACTTGAATCTACAGCATTATGCGTTTGTGGTTTCAGTGAAAGACCAGGTCGCTAAAACCCAAAAAAAAACTATCAAGCCAAACTTCAGTATGGGATCTGATGTGTCCAATAATAATGTCAGCTGGGACCACAATAAAAGTTGTAAAGAAGCGGTTTCAAGGAGATTTAGACAGGCTGAGCGAGTGGGCCAGAACCTGGCAGATGGTCTATAATGTGTACAAAAGTGAGGTTATCCTCTTTAGTAGGAGGAACAGTGGAGCAGAGTATTTCTAAAATAGTGAGAAATGGGAAAGTGTTGATGTTCAAAGGGGCCTGGTTATCCTTGTTCATGAATCACTGAAAGCTAGCACGTAGAAGTAGCAAGCAATTCAAAGGCAAATGATATGCTGGATTTTATTGGAAAAGGATGTGAGCATAGTTGTAAAATAAAGTATTGCTTTGATGATGTGGAGCACTGATTAATAGAATCCCCACAGCATGGAAACAGGCCATTTGGCCCAACAAGTCCACACCCAACCCCCTGAAGAGCATCCCACCCACACCATCCCCCAACCCTATCCCTGTAACACTACATTTCCCCTGGCTAATGTACCTAACCTACACATCCCTGAACACTATTGGTAATTTAGCATGGCCAATCCACCTAGCCAGCACATCTTTGAACTGTGGGAGGAAACCGGAGCACCCGGCAGAAACCCATTCAGACACAGGGAGAACATGAAAACTCCACACAGATAGTCACCCAAGGCTGGAATTGAACCTGGGTCCCTGGTATAGTGCGGCAGCAGTACTAACCACTGAGCCACTGTTAGACCGCACTCACAGCATTGCGTTCAGTTCTCGCCTCTTGCCTAATGAAGGATGGACTTGCCACAGAGGAAATGTAGCCGAGGTTCACCTGAATGATTCCTGTAAAGTTGGGACTGTCCTATGAGGACAAACTGAGAAGACTGGACCTAGATTTTTTGGAGTTTAGGAATATGAGAGGCAATCTCATTGAAACTTACAAAATTCTTAAAGCAACAGGCAGAGTAGAAGCAGAAAGGATGTTTTCCCTGGCTCTGGGAATTGCAGCCAGGGGACACAGTCTTAGAATAAAAGGCAAGATATTTAGGATTGAGATGAGGAGAAATTTCATCATTCGGAGCTAGGGAATCTTTACTGCAGAGGATGTGAAGGCTTAGTCATTAACTAGGTTCAAGAAAGAGATTGATAAATTTCTAGATACTAACAACATCCATGGGAATAGGGACAACATGGGAACATGGCATTGAGATAGTTGATCAGCCATGATCTAGAATGATGGAGCAGACTTGAAGGGGTGAATGGCCTACTCCTCCTCTACATCCTAATGAGTTAACATTTCAAGAGCAGAATGAATAACGAAAAAAAAATCATGTGAGGTTCAAGCAGCAGTCACTTACATTCCAGGACCCTCCAGGTGGCCCAGTACCCAAGACCAGGTGGGATATACCTTGCCAAGACTCCAGCTTCCAGCACAGTGGAGAAGTGTGATCCAGCCCATAATCGCCATCAGGCAGCAGCAGTGTGTCAAAGAGCACAGCCAATGGATTGGATGAACGTCCTTCTAACCCTTCAGAGAGATACTCCAGATCCTGAGGGCAGTGAAAGCAGTGAGCTCGTAATCTTATCAAAGGTTATCAATCTTCACAGCGAGGGTGACTGAGAGTTCAGCAGCACCATTAACATGGCCGTGTGCGTTAATTAAGAGTGCCCTGTCCCAAGGCAATGTGACATTTAAATAATGAAAGGCATTGTCTGCAGCTCATCTCAGACAGTCAGGGTCAGATCATTGTCAACATTACAAAAGCAGGTATAGATAAGGATAACAAATCACCAGTCAGCTGCTATTGCTCAGCTCACTTTTTCACTTGATATGGAGATGGTCCCTAACAGCACAAGAAGGTTCTGTAACAGGAAAATCTGTCTCAGTGACCTGAAGAAACAATGATGTAAAACAGTACACCTGCCCCAGGTCCCAGCCTGAGCCTGTCACAGGAGCACAGAGTATTAACCACACTCTTATCATCAAATACAAAACGCCAGCCTCTCTCTCACGTGGAATCTGTAAATCACACACAAGCTCTCCATAGAAAACAGACCAGTCAATAAATATATCCCCAAATGGTTCTTGTTACTAGCCAATCCTATATAAAGATCCTACATTCCACTAGATACCCCTACTGACCCTATACCCCTCATCTCATGTGTTACCTAGTCCAGAAACAGCTAGGCTGTTCATGGAATTGGAAAAGAGAATCCTCTTCAGTATTCAGTGAACTGTGCATTGTAAAAACTGCATGTTTAAAGCTGTGAGACAGGTTTAGGGTTTGACCATTGCCTTGACAGGATATGTTCATTAATTACATAATTAAAAAGCAGCCCAAAGCTGCAGCTCACTATCACTTTAGAGACATAGAGTCACCTTCTTCAGGACAATAACTACTGGCTTAGCCAGGATCTCACATCAAGAAATGGGTTGAGAAAGAGTTTGGATTAAGTATCTACCTCAGCATTTTGACAGCAGGTGTGTACACATTACCTGGTCAACAATCGACAGGCGATGATTCTCTTCCAATTTATGCTGTAGTATTGGGTTTGGGTGGCTTGCTGCGGGAGACAGGTAGGGCCTGTACCCAGACAATAGGTAAGATAGGCAAATCCCGGAGGGACCATTCCCTGAAGGATAAATAACATTTATTTGCATAGTTTGAGGCTGTACATTCATAGGAACAGGAGGAAGTCATTCAGCCCTTGAGCCTGCTTTCCCATTTAATTAGATCATGGCTGACCTCTTCTTCAATCCATTTACCTGTTTTTCTCCATATTCCTCGATACACCTTCCCAACCAAAAAATAGCAATCTTAAAGCTCCAACTGCTGCTCAAAATACATCACCTTTAGAGGTGGAAAGAGATTCAATATTTGTGTGTGAAGAATTGTCAACATTCCATTAGCACCTGTGTACAATAACAACCTGCATTTAAAGTTGCTTCTCAGGAGCATGATCAAACAAAATTGACACCCAGCCACATAAGGAAATATTAGGAGAGATGTCTGATGCTTATTCAAAGAGGTAGGTTTTAAGGAATTTTATAAAGAGAGAAAGAGACAGAGAGATGGAGAGAGGTACAGAGAGATTTCCAGGCCCAGGCACTTAAAGGCACTGTAAGAGGGAGGAAAAGAAAGCAGTGATACTCATGAGGCCAGATTAGAGGGTTGCAGGGATCTCAGAGGGTTACAGGAGAGTACAAATGGAGTGATGGTGAGACAATGCTGACATTTGAAAGGAAGGACAAGAGTTTTAAATTGGAGGTATTGCCAAACTGGAAGACAACATAGGTCACTGAACACAGGAGTAATAATTGACGACAACCTGGTGTGAGTTAGAACACGGGCAGTAGAATTCTGGATTTGTTCAAATTTATGAAAAATGGAAGGCCAACCAGGAGTGTGGTTGAATAGTCGAGTTGGAGGGAACAAAGGCATGGACAGGGGTGTTCAACTGCAACATGAGGCAGAGACAGGGAAATAGGCAGTCTTACTGACGATATATGGCTGCAAGCTCATCTCAGGGTCAAATGTGGTACAGAGAGGTTATGAACAAAGTTTAATCTCAGGTGGATGTCTGAGGATGGAGGGAGATGCAGTTTATAGCTTGGGAGTTTGTAGCAACAATCAAAGACATTGACTTTAATTTTCACATTTACTTAGAGGAAATTGCAGTTCAGTCAGTTCTGGATGTCAAGAAAAAGGTTGATCATTAGAGAGAGACAGCAGAGACAATGGTGGAAGAGCAGGAGGAAATAGTGTTCAATAGTTTGTGTAACTGGATTGCCAAATCTCTGCTTCTCTACAGTTTATGGATTTGGATCAAAAAACTCACTGAAAAGCAAATAGTTCCACATTTCCCAATGTTGTCTTTCTTTTCTCAACTAATTTAATCTTTATATGTCCCTATAATTTAGACTCACAGATATACATTCCTTCACACAAATGGTGAAAAGTTAAGGCCCCACAACTGATCCCTGCAATCCTGCCCTTTCTCCCAGCTCCTGAAGGATTTCCAACCCAATGAATAGGCTCTCCCCATAGTGTGGAGGTCCCTGTCTTCACATGTGTTAGGACAGGGTGGGGGTAAGACGGGAATTAGGGAAGATAATGGCCACTTCCCTCTCCATAAGAGATCCCCCTTCAATCACTACAGCCCTAGTTGCTAAAGAACCAAGACTTAAAGATCCCAAAATGTGTACAAGGAACACTGCTGAAGCCCAACTGGCTAAAGCCAACTGTCCTTCAGTACAGAGCCATAAGCAACCTTACACTCCTCACTCAGGATTGCGGTAGTTTTATCTGGAGCCCAGTGTGAGGAATCACTGTGCCAGTCACGCTAAGAATAATGCCCCACCAGATAAAAATGAACGTACCTACAATAAGGACAGGGACAGTCAGTGACCCATCCTTGGGCAGTACCTTCTCTTCCAGAACTGGCATCATGCCTGCAGAGTGATGGATGGATTGTTCAGGTTAAACCCGAAGCAGCTTATCGTAATTACTTGCTATAAATCTGAAGGAAAAAATAAGAAAAAATATCTGTTTAATGGGAAGGCAGTATAAATATTCTTGATGATGCTCTGTGGCAGATCAATGCTCACTTCAATATTTCTAATTGTTGATGCCCTTCACATGGAATGTACAGCACAAACAGGCCATTCCGCCCAATCAATCTCTGCTGGTGGTTATGCTCCACGTGAACTTTCTCCCATCCCTTTACATCTTAGTCTAGCCTTTTAGTGCTTTCTCCCTCATATGCCTATCCAACTCTCCCTTAAATACATCTGGACTATTTACTGCAACCACTCCCTGTGGGAGTAAGTTCCACATACTCACCACTCTTGGGGATAAAGGAGGTCGTCCTGAATTCCCCTAACGGATTTGATTTCAGTGAACATCTTGTGTTTGTCACTATATTATACCTGAGGCCTTGAATTCTGGTCTCTGCTACAATGGTAACATTTTCCTTAGGTCTATCCTAATGAACTCTTTCATAAAATAAAACGGCTTCCTGTCAGATATACAATCCTTTCATCAATGCCCTGGTTATAGTTTTACTTAAATTTTATTTAACAAAATGAACGATGCTTCTTCTTTTAAGCACAAATTATTTAACTCTCATCTTCCCAGAAGTTTGAAGGGTGCTAAGGGGGACTCTTTGAAATTCAACAAGTCTGCTCCAGCCCAGCCTTCACTATTCACAGCTCCACTAAACATTTCATCCTCAAACGAAGCTAATGTAGAGATTCTCAATTATTAACATTAATCAAGCAACTCTCCGCAGCAATTTGGTTTTATTTCACTATAGCTAGTTCCTTATATAAACAACGCCCAAGTATCCAAAAAGAGGGTCTGCACTTCCAGACTCCACCATTCGAACCTGATTTCCCATTGGCTACCCTCAGACTTCAACTTATAAAAAATATGGGTGTCCGTATCCTCATTTGCTTTATATCCCATTTGCCCATCACCTGCTATTCTCACTAACCTATACTGGCTCCAAATTTGTCACTGACTCTGTTCTTGCCCGCATTACAGAATCACTTGTGGTATGATGCGGGAGGTCACTCAGCCCATCATGTCTCATGGTCTTAAAATGTTAGCTCTGTTTCTCTTTCCACAGATGCTGCCAGGCCTACTCAGTTTCTCCAGCTATTTAATTGTCACATTCTGTAAACATTTCTACCCCTTTCTTTAATCTCACTTCTGCAATTCAGCTCTTGATCATTCTTTCAACTTTTTAAATCAATTATTTGATTCAGCTTCCATGAAGCAACTTGGAATGTTCTTGTATGTGAAGATTTGGAGGTGTGAAGCCAAATTCCCAATCAGCTAACCAAAAAGACGTTCAAGAGCAAAAAATGTAGATCAGCAAGGAAATAAACTCGCAAAAAACATGCCATCAGTCTTTGCACAATTAGTAAAATCTCTTGGGTGTGTCTTCATTTGCACTGACTCTGCTTTTGCCTGGTATCAGAAACAATGCAGCAGGATTGACAAATGGCTACAGAATGGAGTATCAGGAAATCATTCACTCCAATCCATTTTGCTTCAGCCAAACAATGTAAATGATGCAAGCATAATATAAGAATAAAGAACAGGAGTCAACCATTCAGTTAGATCAGTTCTCCAAGACAATGTAACCTTGGGAGCTGACAGTATGATTTACACCGACAGCAGACAGAGTAAGGAATCAACTGTCAACTGGCTGTAATTTATACCTCTTCACTCTTTCCAGTGTGTACAATGTACAGGTTGTACCAGGAGTGGCTCTCATTGTCAAGGTTTCTGTTTCAGTAACCATGAGATAAAAGTATGAGAAGATGCTACAAAAATATCAACAATTCTCACATGATCACCTCAAGAATCACTTTAAATCTAAGCCCTCTTGTTCCTTTTATGAATGGGAACAGTTTCTCTCTATCTACCCTGCTCATGATTTTGAAAACCTCTATCAGATCTCCTCTTAGCCTTTTTCTCTCAGCCTTGTTCTTTCCAATGTGAACTGTCTCAACTTCTTCAATCTATCCTCATCACTGAAGTTTCTCATTCCTCGAATTATTTTTATACCAACCTCTGGGAACCCCACTACAAACCTTCTTTCAGCCCGAAAAATATCCATTGACAATGACTCTCTGTTTCTGTCACTCAGCCAACTTTTTATCCATGTTATATACCATGACCCATAACTTTCCTCACAAGCCTGTTGTGTGGCATTATATCAGGCACCTTCTGGAAGTCCATATATCCACACCAACAGCATTATTCTCATTGAGCCTTTCTGTTATCTTCTCAAAAAGCTCCAGCAAGTTAGTTAAGAGATAGCAAAAACTGCAGACGCTGGAGTCAGAGACAATACAGTGTGCAGCTAAAGGAACACAATAGGCCAGGCAGCACTAGAGGAGCAGGAAAGTTGATTTTTCGTGTCAGGACCTGATTTCCCTTTTAGAAATACACGCTCTCTCTTTGTAACCAACCCACCTCTTTCTATGTGATTACTAATTCTATCCTGAATAATAGTTTCTAGAAGCTTTCCCACCACTGAAGTTAAACTGACCGGTCTGTAATTGCTGGGATTATCCTTACAATCTTTCTTGAACAATGCCATAATGTTTGCAATTCTCTAGTCTTCCAACATGTCCCCAAGTCCAGGGAAGACTGAAAGATCATGGTCAGTGACCCACAATTTCTACACTCACTTCCTTCAAAATCCTTGGATGCGACTCATCTGGTCCTAGAGTCTTGTCAACTAAGTACCAAAAGTCTATCAAATACTTCTGCTTTATTAATTATGAACGATTCTAGTGACAGAGTTTCCTCCTTCGTCACCGTGGCCTGGACAGCATTTCCCTCTTTACTAAGGCCTGATGCAAAATAATAATTTAATACCTCTGGCTTTGTCTGCAAGTGTAAATCCCCCTTTTGGTCCCTAATCAACCTACTCCCTCTTTTATGATTTAATTTATATGCTGATGGGCCAATTCTTAATTGGGTAAATCAGCACTGCAGTATACTTTCTGGAATTCCATCCCTAAGGGCGGTGTGGATCTGTCTACAGCACATGGATGGCAGCAGTTCAAGAAGGCAGCTCAGCATTACCTTCTCAAGGACTGTGGGCTCAGCCAGTGACACCCCTGTCCAACGAGTGAATAAAGAAAAGACAAGAATCCTCATGGTTTCCAGACCTTACACCAGCAAAGATAGATCAGTATCCTAACACAGGATCTGTTCAAAGGATGAATTGAAGGAGATTAGTATTAGTTAAAAAAAAAGCGTTGGTGAAATTAATGAGACTAAATTCCCAGGGCCTGATAATTTACATCCGAGGGTACTGAAGGAGGTGGTCGTGGCAATAGTGAATTAATTGGTGATCATCTTCCAAAATTCTATAGATTCGGGAACAGTCACAACAGATTGGAGGGTGACTAAATGTAGCCCAACTATTTAAAAAGGAGAGAAAGAAAAACACAGGAATTATAGATGGGCTAGCAATAACATCAGGCAAAATGCTGGAGTCTATATAAAGGATATAATGACAAGTCACTTGGCAAATATCCACAATATTAAACAAGGTCAACATGGATTTATGAAAGGAAATCATATTTCAGAAACCTACTGGAAGTTTTTGAGGATATAATTAGCAGAATAGATGAATGAGAACCAGTCGACGTGGTGCATTTGGATTTTCAGGAAGCTTTCTGGTGCATTTGGCGGCTCTGAGGTGACTACTGCTGCCTGTCAGCTCTAGGGACCCAGGTTCAATTTCCATGAAAAGGAACCCCTCTGTCCCGCACCACTCTTCTGGCCACGTGTTTACTTCCCTTATTCTCATGTCGGACAACTGGCTGTGTGGAGATTGCACATTCTCCTTATGTCTGCTTGGGTTTCTTCTGCGTGCTCTGATTTCCTCCCACAGTCCAAACATGTGCAGATTAGGTAGACTGGCCATGCTAAATTACCTGTAGTGTCCAGGGATGTGTAGGTTAGGTGGATTAGCCATGGGAAATGCTGGGTTACAGAGATAGGGTAGGAGGTTGGGTCTGGGTGTGAACCAATGACATGCTTCCACACTGTAGGGATTCTATGAATCTAACAGGTTATTGTACACAGTCAAAGCTCTTGGATTGGTTGGTAATATAATGCATGTATTGAGAATTTGTTAGCAGACAGGAAAGAGAGCAGGAACAAATAGGAATAAATAAATAATATGGTTATAATCTCCAGATTACTGCCCGAGCCACGTGCTAATTGGCATAAGGACATGAGAATAAGGGAAGTAAACACGTGGCCAGAAGAGTGGTGCGGGACAGAGGGGTTCCTTTTCATGGGGCACTGGCATCAGTATTGGAACAGGAGGGATCTGTACCATTGGGACGGTCTCCACCTGAATCGAGCTGGGACCAGTGTTCTAGTGAAAAGGGTAAATAGGCTGGTCAACAGGACTTTAAACTAGAAAGTGGGGGGGAAGGGAATGGTTAAACTTGCCCCAGTGGGAAACAAAGCAGCAGGTTAACATCTGTAGTGGTGGATTCAACTACGTAGAAAAATATGAAAGAAATGACAGGGAAGGAGAATTCTGGAGAGGTTATTAAAGTCTCCAGCACAGACACAAATAGAACAGAGTGTTTGGAAACGGCTAGCAATCAAACACTGGAAAAACAAATGACAATGAGGAGATGGAGGGTTAATACAGGACTGAAGGTGTTATATCTGAATGCACACTGTATAAGGAATAAGGTAAATGAGCTTGTGGCGCAGATCGAAATTGGCAGGTATGACGTGGTAGGCATCACAGAGACGTGGCTGCAAGAGGATCAGGATTGGGAACTGAATATCCAAGGATATACATCCTTTTGAAAAGACAGGCAGGTGGGCCGAGGGGGTGGGATTGCCTTATTAATGAGAAATGAAATTAAATCAATAGGAAGAAACAAATTAGGGTCAGATGGTGTAGAATCTGTGTGGGTAGAATTGAGGAACCGCAAAGGTAAAAAAACCATAGTTGGGGTTGTGTACAGGCCTCCAAACAGTAGTCAGGAGCTGGGGCGCAAGATACACCAGGAGATAGAAAAGGTGTGTAAGAAAGGCAAAGTTACAGTGATCATGGGGGATTTCAATATGCAGGTGGACTGGGAAAATCATGTTGGTAGTGGATTGTAAGAAAAGGAGTTTGTGGAACGTCTACGAGAAGGCTTTTTGGAGCAGCTCATGGTGGAGCCCACAAGGGAACAGGCAATACTGGATTTAGTGTTGTGCAATGAGGCAGACTTGATAAGGGAGCTTAAGGTAAAGGAACCCTTAGGAGGCAGTGATCATAAGATGATAGAATTTACTCTGCAATTTGAGAGGGAGAAAATAGAATCAGAGGTAACGGTATTACAGCTGAATAAAGGTGACTACAGAGGTATGAGGGAGGAGCTGGGCAGAACTGACTGGAAGTGGAGCCTAGCAGGAAAGACAGTGGAACAGCAATGGCAGGAGTTTCTGGGAGTAATTCAGGAGACACAGCAAAAATTCATCCCTAGGGAAAAGAAGCATGGTACAGGCAGGATGAGGCAACCATGGTTAACTAAGGAAGTCAGGGATAGCATAAAAGCAAAAGAGAATGCATATAATGTGGCGAAGGGCAGTGGGAAACCAGAGGATTGGGAAGCTTACAAAGACCAACAGAGGGCAACAAAAAAAAATAAGGAGGGAGAAGATTAAATATGAAGGTAAGCTAGCCAGTAATATAAATGAAGGTTGTAAGAGTTTCTTTAGATATATAAAAGGCAAAAGAGAGGCAAAAGTGGACATTGGACTGCTGGAAAATGACGGTGGAGAGATAGCAGTGCGGAACAAGGAAATGGCTGAGGAACTGAATAATTACTTTGCGTCAATCTTCACGGTGGAAGACACGAGTAATCTCCCAAAAATTCAAGACAGTCAGGGGGCAAAGCTGAATATGATGGCCATCACCAAGGAAAAGGTGCTAGTAAATCTATTTGGCCTAAAGGTGGATAAATAACCTGGACCAGATGGACTACACCCCAGACTTCTAAAGGAGATAGCTGAAGAGATAGTGGAAGCATTAGTGGTGATCTTTCAGGAATTGCTGGAGTCAGGGAGGGTCCCAGACGACTGGAAAATCGCTGATGTGACACCCCTGTTCAAAAAGGGAGTAAGGCAAAAGACGGAAAATTACAGGCCGATTATCCTAACCTCGGTCGTGGGTAAGATTTTGGAGTCCATTGTAAAGGATGAGATTTCTGAATATTTGGAAGTGTATGGTAAAGCAGGGCAAAGTCAGCATGGTTTCATTAAGGGGAGGTCATGCCTGACAAATCTGCTAGAATTCTTTGAGGAACTAATGAGCAGGGTAGACCAAGGAGAGCCAATGGATGTTATCTACCTAGACTTCAAGAAGGCCTTTGACAAGGTGCCGCACAGGAGGCTGCTGAGTAAGATAAGGACCCATGGTGTTAGAGACAAGGTACTAGCATGGATAGAAGATTGGCTGTATGGCAGAAAGCAGAGAATGGGGATAAAAGGGTCTTTCTCAGGATGGCAGCTGGTGACAAGTGGTGTTCTGCAAGGGTCAGTGTTGGGACCACAACTTTTCACTATATTCATTAATGATCTCGATGAAGGAACTGTGAGCATTCTGGCTATGTTTGCAGATGATACAAAGATAGGTGGAGGGACAGGTAGTATTGAGGATGTGGGGAAGCTGCAGAAGGATTTGGACAGGTTAGGAGAGTGGGCAAAGAAGTGGCAGATGGAGTACAACGTGGGAAAGTGTGAGGTCATGCACTTTGGTAAGAAGAATAAAAGCATGGACTACTTTCTAAATGGGGAGAAAATTCAGAAGTCTGAAGTGCAAAGAGACTTGGGAGTTCTAGTCCAGGATTCTCTCAAGGTAAACTTGCAGGTTGAGTCAGTAGTCAGGAAGGCAAATGCAATGTTGGCATTTATTTTAAGAGGGCTAGAATATGAGAGCACAGATGTACTGCTGAGGCTGTATAAGGCCCTAGACAGACTACATTTGAAACATTGAGAGCAGTTTTGGTCCCGGAATAGAAGAAAGGATATGTTGACATTGGAGGGGGTCCAGAGGACGTTTATAAGAATGATCCCAGGGATGAAGGGCTTGTCATATGAGGAGCAGTTAAGGACTCTGGGTCTGTGCTCCGTGGACTTTAGGCGGATGAGGGGTATCTAATTTAAACTTATAGAATACTGGGAGGCCTGGATAGAGTGGATGTGGAGAAGATGTTTCCACTAGTAGGAGAGACTAGGACCCGAGGGCACAACCTCAGTGAAGGGATGACCCTTCAGAACTGAGATGAAGAGGAATTTCTTCAGCCAGAAGGTGTTGACTCTGTGGGACTCAACTGCTGCAGAGGGCTGTGGAGGTCAAGTCATTGAGTGTGTTTAAGACAGAGATAGATAGGGTCTTGATTAGTAAGGGTATCAAGGGTTATGGGAAGAAGGCAGGAAAATGGGGTTGAGAAACATATCAGCCATGACCAAATGGTGAGGCAGACTCAATGGGGTGAATGGCCTAATTCTGCTCCTTAATCTTATGGAGATGGTGGGCCAAGGACACAATCCTGAAGAAACAAACAAACAGACAGTACAAATTGCTGAAGAAACACAGCAGGTCTGACCTGTGATGTCATCTCTGGTTTACTATTAAAACCTTTAGCTATCATGGGGCAGTGACTTGAAAGAAATTCTGGGATTTATCAACTGACACCTGCATCTCCTTTCTAACTGATTAAAGATTTAACAGCCATCTCAGGTTTGTTCAAAACATTTGCATCAGTTCTATGACCCCTTCATCTTTTGCTTATAAATTCTGTGTCTGATGCCACCTCCCCAACTAACACCTGAAGAAGGAGCAAGACTCCGAAGGACTCATAAACCTGTTGCACTATAACCTGGTGTTGTGTGATTTTTGACCTTGTTCACCCCAGTCCAGCACCGGCACCTCCACAACATTGCAGGTATCCACGAATTAACCAGCATTCTATAAGCTGTGCCATTTTTAAAAGCCCATTGTGTACTTTGACATGCTCTATCCATCCTGAACTACCCTGCAGAGTTCCTGACATTTGCCCTGGAGACGACAGACAGGGGAAGATTAGCACCCCACTTTCCGGGTAGATCCTTCAGGTCTCCCTGGACAGGGTGGTGCAGGTACACAATGTCCTCTTTTCCAGGACCAGTAATGAAGGTCATGACACCAGATCATGCCAGCCTAATTCATGTCTGTCATTCAGGTCAAAGCAGTCTCAGCCTGGAGGAACGCACAGACTGTAGGAGAAAGATCAATGACCTTTCCCACAGCATCAGCATAAGCGTCACCATCTTGTTCTGAAAGACCTCGGTGTTGGACGCGTTACACGCTGTATTTGGCAGGCACCCATTCACGTTTCTATGTCAAGTTTTCTATATCTACTCTGAATGGTAAGTTTGCTAAGTTAGAAAGCTGAATGTTCATGATGAGAGTTGGGCTATCAACAAGACATCTAATAAGTGTTAATCCCCATAAATTGGCAACTTGCAGCCATCTAGTCAGAATCTCACCAAGCCACTTGTGTAAAGCATAAAAGATGGATCGAGATGCTCCCGATATCAAGATTGACCTTGCTGGACTTCTCATCCAATTCTGCCACAAATCCCACCATAGCCCATATCACCCAGTCTTGGATAAGATTCCACCCATATTCACTGTCACACCAGTATTTTATTTTCAAATAATATTTTTACTGAATTTAAATTCTCAAACTTACCCAGTGGGATTTAAACTCTCATTTCTCTGGATTATTAAACTAGCAGAGCCTGTTCACTACTTACCCAGTGAGCCTCCAAAGATGTAGAAAACGGTATTAAACTGATAACTGCACTCTACAAAACAAATACATAAACAATGGAATCACCCGCTGGGAAAAGGTTTGGCTTGTGGCTGAAGGAGTGACAAAGTCTCTGACTCTGGGTGATCACATTCTACATAAACAGGAGGGAGACTAACATTCTTGAGCATCAGGAACTTTACCTAAAGCTGTACATTCACAGAATCCTCAAACTCACCCAGTGGCTATCATCAGGTGTGATTTAAACTCGCAACAATGAGAGGGTCAGGGAAGGGTTTAAAATATTGGTATCTCAAGCTCAGTCCCCAGTCCCACACCCACTCTCACCTTGGGTTACTTTGCCAGCTATTTGAAAGGCACTATTCTCCTATTGAACATCACGTTGTAAGATTATCGCAGTTGCTCAGATTAGATAACAAAACCTGTACTCAAATGTACTTCTCTAATTAACTCTGACCTGCTTCCACATGCCCTACCCGCAGAACAAGAGTCTTTCAGCTTTCTGGAATTTTCCATGTCTGTAAAGTGTCCTGATTAACAGTGTTTAAACTTCAATCTCAATATCAGCTTCACCCCATTGGGTTTAAGTGGATAGGGTAAACCCTCAGCTGAACAGACTGATGTCAGCTACAGCCACCCAGTTGTTGTTGCAGTGGGATCGATTCTTGGGCTGATTAACAATCTGGTCACAATGTGATGACTTCTCAGCAAAAGTGAGAGTTAGGATGGAGGGGATTCTCATCCACCCTCTTAAACCTGCTGAACTGGATGTTGGCTGGCATATCCCACTCCAGTCTCTTGGTCTCTCTGCAGCAGGATCCTTACCTGGAACTTGACCCTGAGGCAGGACTGTACACAATGGATCAAAAGCAGTCTCCTTCATGGCCAGGTTGGAATAAACCCCTTTGATCAGTTCTCACTGGCTTCATTGGGCACAGCTTCTCACTGGCATATAGCTCCTTTGGGCACTGCTACCAACTGGGGTACAGTTGCACTGCAAGAGTTCTTGTGGTGCAGTGGTAGTGTCCTGACCTCTGGGCTAGCGCCTTGGATTCATGTCCTGCCTGCTCCAGAGACGTGCAATAACATCTCTGAACAAGTAGATTAGAAAATATCTACAACTCCACTGTATACTGCTTCTCACTGAGAAGATACTGCTCAAATTTCCCCAAATTGAATCTCTGTTAAATGTTTTCCTCTCCTTTGCCCAGTGTGTGTTTGTGTGTGCGCGCGAGTGTGTGTTTTAATTGGGTTATTTAGAGGGGTAAGCATTTTTATTGTCATATTACATCTCAGTGTGTTAACAGTTTTGCATCTTCTTTGCATAAGTTTTATTTTGCAATATATCAATAGTGGGACTAGAGAGGCAGTGAGGCTGTCCTGCCATCCTGGTTGTGCCACAAACAAGTTGTGTCAAACAGCGAGAAAAAAAGTGAACAACAGTGGATGGATCATCCAGTTTTGATCTGGGCATGGGAATCACACTGACTTGACAATTTTTCAGTGTTCCTTCACAATCACTGGATCAAAATCCTAGAACTCCCTTGCTAATAGCACTGTGATTGTATTCAAGGATTAGATCTAAGCTCTACAGTCTTACCACATCCAGTCGTGAATGGTGGTGGATAATTAAACAATTCATTGGAGGAAAAGCCTCCAGAACACCTGCTTCTTCAATGATAGGGGAGCCCAGCACTTTATGTAAAAGAAAAGGATGAGGCATTTGCAACAATCTTCAGCTAGAGGTGCCAAGTGAATGATCCAACTTGGCCTGCTCCAATGGTCCCCTGCATCACCAATACCAGTATTCAACCAATTCGAATGATTGCATGTGATATCAAGAAATGGCTGAAGCCATAGATAATGCAAAGGCTATGGGTCCTGACAACATTCCAGCAATAGGATGTGGCAGAGGAGCTGGATTAGAAACAAAATTACTTCAATGGTGAGGGACTACCTAATGAGGGCAAAGCATTCAGTGGAGACCATATGGGGGGGAGGTTAGCAATGGTAAAGGATCTAAAACTGTCATAAGTGTTGTGTATAGACCCCTGGTAATACTTCTGAAATGCTAGATTGCATAAATTGAAAAAATAGGCAAGTATGTAGCAAAGCTAGAGTAGTGTTAATTGGGATTTTCACTTTAACATGGATGAGGAGAGGCAGACAAGCACCTGTCAGAAAGGTAGTGAAATTCTAGAGTGTATCCAGTATATGCTCCTACAACAACTTGTCCTGGATGCAACAAGGGAACAAGTAATATTGGATTTACTAATGAGTCGGATTTATTTAGTAATTTAATTGTGCATGAATCGTGTATGGTGGTTCAGTGGTTAGCACTGCTGCCTCACTGCAACAGGGACCAGGGTTCAATTCCACCTTTGGGTGACTGTGTGGAATTTGCATGTTCTCCCATGTCTGTCTGGGTTTCTTCCTGGTGCTCTGGTTTCTTCCCACAGTCCAAAGATGTGCAGGTTAGGTGGATTGGCCATGCCAAATTGCCTATAGTGTCCAGGAATGTGCAGGCTAGGTGAATTAGCCATGGGAAATGTGAGGTTATCAGGCTGGAATTGAGTGGCATGCTCTTTCGAGGCTCGGTGCAGACTCAATGGACAGAATAACCTCTTTCTGCACTGTGGGGATTCTATGATTCTGATTCTTGAACATTAATCAAATAGTGATGATAACATGATTGAGTCCAATGTAGCATTTGAAAGTGAAAGGCATGAATCAACAACAAGCATTTCAGATTCCTTTACTTTTATTCATTCACGGGATGAGAGCGTCACTGGCTAGGCAGCACGTATTGTCCATTCCTAATTGCCCAAAGCTCAGTTCAGAGTCAACCACATTGCTGTGGGTCTGAAGTCACATGTACGCCAGACCAGGTAACGATGGCAGTTTCCTTCCCTAAAGGACATTAGTGAACCAAGTGCGTTTTTTCCAACAATTGACAATGGATTCATGGTCATCATTAGATTCTTAATTCCAGATATTTTTTATTGAATTCAAATTCCACCATCAGCCGTGGCAGAATTTGAAACGGGTTCCCCAGAATGTTATCCAGGTCTCTGGATTAACAGTCCAGCGATAATACCACTAGACCATTGCCTCCCCAGATTTAGGTAAGGCCAACGTTAACAAGATGAGACAGAGACTGTCCACAGTAAACTGGGAAAATCTGCTCATGGGTAAAACAAGGAAGAACAGTGGAGGATATTTAAAGAAATATTTAACACAATAAAACCAGATTATATCCCTCAGAGGAAAAACTCCACTACACAGTAAAAAACAGCCACGGATAACGAGAAAGATAACAGACAGCATAAAACTAAACAAAAAGGCTTACAAAAATGCAAAAAACAGCACAGATCCTGCTAAATGGGAAAGATACAAAGACCAGCAAAGAGCCACTAAGCAATTTATAAGAACTACTCGAAGGGATTGTGCAAGGAAACATGCCATGGATATCAAAATCAATAAGAAGAAATGTTCTTGTTACACAAAGGGAAACTGGGTGGTCACAAGCAATGTTGGCCCACTTAAGACTAGAAGTTGGGATATTGCCAATGACTACCAGGAAATGGCAGACATGCTGAATAATTACCTTGCCTCAGCATTTACATTGGAAAAGGAGGATGGCTTGCTGGAAGTTCTGATGAAATTAATAGTGGATTGGGAACAGGGACTGATTGAAATTATGTAAGTAAATCATCGGTAATAAGGAAATTAATGGAATTAAAGAGAGACAAATCCCCATGACAATTTCCATCCGAGGACGGGAAGTAGGCAAGCACATTGTAGATGCCCTAACTATATCTTTCAGAATTTCCCAGATTCAGGAGTCGTCCTTCTGGATTGGAAAAGTGCACATCACTCCACTTTTTAAGAAGGGTGAAAGAGGAAAACCAAGGAGTTACAGACCAAAAACAGAAGTTGTTGGAAAAGCTCAGCAGTGTTCTGAGGAAGGGTCACGGGACCCAAAACGTTAACTCTGATTTTTTTCTCCACAGATGTTGCCAGACCTGCTGAGCTTTTCCAGCAACTTCTGTTTTTGTTCCTGATTTACAGCATCCGCAGCTCTTTTGGGTTTTACTTACAATGTCTGTGGATGTGTTTACATGAATGTCCAGAAGGCATTTGTTAAAGTCTCACGTAAGAGATTGTTAACAAAGGTAAAAGCCCACAGGATCAAGGGCAAATTACTGACATGGTTAGGAAATTGGTTGAGTGGCAGGTTACAGAAAGTAGGGATAATGAATGGGTGCTCAAATTGTCAGGATGTGGTATCCCACAAGGACCTTAATTTTTACCATTATTTACAAATGACTTGGATAATGGCATAGAGTCATGCATCCAAATTTGCTGATGACACAAATTTAGGTGACATTGTAAACAGTAAAGAAGATAGCATAAAATTACAAAGGGATATTGACAGGCTAAGTGAATGGGCAAAACTGTGCCAGATGGAGTTCAATGTAAGTAAGCAGGAGATTTTTGATTATGGACCAAAAAGGGATAGATCAGATAGTTTCTAGATGGTATGAAGCCACACTTGGAATATTGTGTTCAGTTCTGATCGCCTCATTATAGGAAGGATGTGGAAACTTTAGAGAGGGTGCAGAGGAGATTTACCAGGATGCTGCCTGGACTGGAGGGGCAGGTCTTATGAGGAAAGGTTGAGGGAGCTAGGGCTTTTTTCATTGGAGTGAAGAAGGATGAGAGTTGACTTGATCGAGGTGTACAAGATGATGAGAGGCATAGATAGAGTGGATAGTCAGAGACTTTTTCCCATAGTGGAAATGACTATTATGAGGGGGCATAATTTTAAAGTGATTGGAGGAAGGTATAGGGGAGATGTCAGAGGTAGGTTCTTCACACAGAGAGTGGTGGGTGCTTGGAATGCGCTGCCAGTGGTGGTAGTGGAGTCAGATACATTAGAGACTTTTAAGCGACTCTTGGATAGGCATGTGGCTGATAGTAAAATGTAGAGTATGCAGGGCAGTTTGATTTTAGAGTAGGATAATAGGTCGGCACAACATCATGGGCCGAAGGGCCTGCATTGTGCTGTACTGTTCTATGTTCTTAAAAACAGTGGATGTAGACTTGAGGATTCAGGTGTGTAGGTCTTCAAAATGTTACAAGCAGGTGCAGAAAATAATCAAGAAAGATAGTGGAATGCTGGCCTTTTATATCTAGAGGACTGGATTATAAGGATGCAAAAGTTATGTTGCAGTTATACAAAATCCTGGTTAGGTCCCACTTGGAGTCGGAGGGATAGATTGGCCTTGGAGGGAATACAATGTAGGTTTACAAGAATGATACCTTAATTAGGGATTAAGTTTTGAGAAAAGATTATACAAATTAAATCTGTCTTCTCTAGAATTTAGAAGGATAAATAGGGTGATCTGATCAAAATCTTCAAGGTATTAACAGGAAAAGACATGGTAGATAAACTATTTCCACTGGCTGGGGATTCTAGAATTAGGGGGTATTGTCTGAAATTTAGGGTCACACCATTCAGGAGAGATGTTAGGAAGCAC